GAAATGCCTGATATACAGCTGAAACCAATATTACCAACAACATCATTTAAACGCATAGGAGAAATATCAAATTTATCCAATAATAATAAAACTCAATATCATTCAACACCAGCATTGAATAAATTAAGTGCAGAATTAAATGAAATAAAAGATAAATTAAAAAGATTTTCAACAGAACATCAACAACCTTTAACAGATATGAGATCAACTGGTACAAAAAAAAATTTGTGTTCTTTAATAAAACTTTTTTTTTTCACTATTTAGAATTTGAAAATAATCAATTAGATATTGATGATAATCCATGTTATGAAGATCCAATTTTCGTTTCATTTGATACATCATTAACTGTAAGATTAGAATTATTCAACAATATGTATATGTATATTTTTTTTTGTCTTATTTTATAAATTAGCCAGAAGATCTTGAACGGATGCAAGCAAAAAAAGATGCTCTACTTCGTCGACAAAATCAACGTCGTGAAGAACAATCAATAAAAAACCAAGAACGACAAGAAGAAGCAGCTGAACGTTATGATGAATATCGTTTATTTGAAGAATATTTATCTCAACGACGACAAGACGAAGATCAACGTCGTACAAATATTTTACAATCACATATTGAACAAAAACGTTTTGACATTGATTCATTATCATCAAATGATTATTATTTTGCTGCAGCTCGTAATCGTAATCGTTTAAAACGAAAATCTTCAATATCATCATTTCATTCATTTGATGATGAACTTAGTTATAATAGTTCATACAATTTTATGCAAACACCTAAACGTAGTATGACACGTTTTGATTTAATGTCACCTAGTTTAACAGCACCAACAGCTGCATCAAAATCAAAAATGAATCGAGCTGCAAGTATTTGCAATATTAATGGACATTATGATTCATTTACATCATTAAATTCAAAAGGAACAACAACAACAACAACAACAACAACAATACCAACAAATTTATTTGGTGGAAGTTTAATGAATCTTTCGAAAGCACAAACACCAAAAAGACGATCATTAAATTTAATGGATGATACATTTGATGATTCACAATTTTGTACATCAATGACATCATTAGCTACATCAGTAACAGGTAAGAAAGGGTTAGAAGTAATATTTATGATGTCTGGGTTTTTTTTTGCTTTCTCAAGGAGCACGTATAGCTCGAAGTCAAACATTATTATCAACAAAATCGAATAAACAAGCAATACTTAATTCACTTAAACAAGTTATACTTGCTGGTTCAGCTAATGAACGACAACGTGAAATTATTATTCGAGTAAGTTTTTCATGTTTTGATATTTTCAAACAAATAAAAGAACTCAAATGATTTTTAAATATAGGAAATTGAATCAAGTGAAGCTCGTCATTTTGTTCTTCTCTTTCGTGATCATCGTCTTCAATTTCGTGCTGTTTATATGTATATACCAGAAACTGATATTATTGAAAAATTGTATGGTATTGGACCGAATATAATTACAGAAATTATGGTTGATAAATGGTTTAAATATAATTCAGGAAGTAAACGTTTTACAAATATACCAATAAAACATTTTTCTATTCAATGTGATGCTATTATTCTTCATAATGACTTTTGGCATAAAAAACTGGTTACAAATATGAATAAAATACATTAATTAATTAATTAAAAGAAGATTTTCGTTTTTCTTCTTTGATTTTTTTTGTTCTATGTGAATAGTTTTTATTAAAAAGATTTTTTTTTCTTTCTGTTAAGTATATATGTCAATCAGTTTGGAAAAATAATTTTAGTAGAAATGGAGAGTCAATTAATTCGATTTTCGAAAAGGGTATTATAGAAAACAAAAAGATCAAAAAAAAAACAATTTGTTTATTATTAATAAAACAAAATTGGCACCCATATATTTGATTGAAATGTAAAAAAAAGAATAGCACAAACAATTACATCTATACGGTTTCAGAATATTGCATCTTTTGCTACGCTTCAATCAGCATTTTTTAGAATACAGAAGAAGTAAACAGCCATATTCAAACTTCGAATGAATGAAAACAATATATCAAATACCATCAGATCGCTAGCATAGTAAAAATCTGTCAATTCAAAAGTCTATTTATAAGAAAAAGAAAGAAAATCTTCGATTATCAAAATAATTTCACAAAACTTAAAGGAAACTAAAATATATCCTTTGATAATGTAACAACTCGTCTAACTTTAATATCATATAAATTCACTTTTAATCATAGTTTCCCTCTCATGAGGGTTCTTTTACAAATTTAAATTTAATATATTTAAAATGATCCCCTATGTCAGTAAACGATATTTGTAATTGTAAAAATAAAAACGAACTGAATCGAATACATAAATCTACTTAAAAATTTTGAAAAATAAATTGTATATTGCATAATGTCTCATATTCCAATTACACTTCTCTTAATCTTCGCCATAACATCGATAATTGTACTTCATGTAAGCAAGCGACAAAGTATTTCTCTTTCCTATGGATACTTGATATGAGAATTTAAGTATATTTCATATATCACCACATGTTCCTAGTGAGACATTGATATTGTATACAAATCTACCTCTCATTGTAATATAAAGAATACTCTAATTATTGATTTGACCTTGAAGGTAAATATTCAAAAGATTCTTTATATAGTGATTAGTTTCCACATATTAAACTTCGATGCTAAAGATAATTGGTACAAAAATTATACATGTTGGATCATCTTTGGGAATATCAAGTACTTCCTAGTTTTTCAATATCTTTTATTTGATATTGATCAATGTTGTTCGTTCTAATTAGAACATTTGTGAATTCGATGATTATAATCTTTTTCAAAAATTTTTTTCAGTTCTCCTCTAAAGTCAAATTTTTAATATTTCATGAGAAAACATGGACAAAAACATATTGCTCTGCTTCTTAGCTTAAAGTGACTTGATTTATTAAATAACTCAGACAGAGAATATACTAGAAGAAGATCGTTTCAAATTAGAAAAGTCTACAATACACTACTATTTAATCAGATTGTTTCACTCATCTGATAGTGATGATACCTTTCTCCAAATTAAATATGACAGCTATTCAACCACTGAAATGTTATATTATAGTTTCAAGCTAATTCGCAAGATTAATAGTCCAATCAATATAACGATTTGATGAATAATTAATGCCTTGCATTTGTATAATATAACAATATGGACTTCTATTATCTTTTGTAATTGTAAAAACTTAATATTTGTTGAACAACTTTCGATCTAAATTCAATTCAATTCTAGATCAACATAATGCCAATTATAATTAAATTTATATTTCTTCTATACTATAACATTTCAAGATGAGTAATAGATCACCTAACAATATTCTCAAATTTCATTCTGTAATCTAGAAAAGTGAATAACTATTGTTAATATAAAAATAAACCATGCCGAAATATCGAAGAAAAAAAAACTGTGGCTCATATCAATCGAGTTGTTTGTCCAAAAAGCAAACAATCTTTTTAATTTACATTTAATTAGATTATTCAAAGTGAACAGAGGAAAATATATTATATACAAAATGAATGTCTTCTTTTTGGACAGTCATTGGTCATAATAATCAATGTAATCTCAAAATTTTTCACCGATATAAAGACCAATATTACATATATGAAATATTTTCATCTAGTTTCAGACGATACGTATCATAATTATAGTCAATAATTAAGTGATATAATTGACAAAAACACATTAAATCTTATGAACAGCTTAAGTTTTATCAGCAATAAGTTGGTTTAAAAATGAGGCTGGTCTCCATATAGAAACTATTAATCAATCAATGATGATAGTATGAAAACTAAAATTGATTATTTTTTGTTTTCATCGTGACATATATGTGTCAGGCAAAATTAAATAAAACTATTAAAAGATTTGAAATTTTAAAAAGTTAAACAATGAGAATAAATATTGATCTCATACATTTAAATTAAGTTATATGGAACTTTAATGACATTTAACTGAGTTTAGGAAGATGTAGAGTTCGCCACTATATTCTATTAAAATTTAATCGATTTTAGAGATTTTTAGAATTCGTCAATATAGTCTGTTGAAATCTAGTGGAGTTTTGAAAGGCAAGAAATTTGAAAGATTAAACAACATATGTTGTTTGAATAGAAGTCAGTTTTAGTCTTTCAATGAAGTTATTGATATTTTTTATCCTTTTAATAATCTATTGTCGTAGAGTTTTTTATATCAATTATTTGTTTTGATTCTGATCTTTAGTAACAAGATCTGTTTATTCACAGAAAGCTCAATAAATAGATTTATGTGGACATAGTCTTTCTTACGATTCAATATAAAATGTTATCAACAAAAATTGCAATAAACATTAATCTCTCGCAAAGTTATTTGTATGTGGCCACTGTAAGAATAGCAGATAGCATATAATCAATCACATAGATTATTCACTAATCAATCAGCAGTATACCTGAAACACGCTGCTATGGATTGATAGAGTTCTCTCGTTTATAAATAGCACAATATCTACATCTAAACTTTGATCGTTCAATCAAAAACAGCTAAGCGAAAAATAAAAAAACGCCTACCCAACCAAAAAAAGAAAAAAATTATTCTATATGTTGAGAATTTTAGTGTAAGAGATAGATGTTTTCAAACATATCTTGGAAACGTCTTACATTGATATTGACAACTGTATAACAAGAAAATCTCCTGTTATTTTTTTTCTATTCTGTTTTGTCTTTTTTGAGAATCTAAGGAAAATTTTTTTTTTCTTTGTCAAAGTTTATGTTCTATTATCCAAATGTTGAATTTTTAATAATGACAACAAAAAAAGAATTAATGAAAATCAAGAAAAGATTTATATTTCTCATGTTTAGTCCACTGATGAATAAACTTGTGACGCTGAACCAATAATATCTATTGTATTGAGTAGTAGCATTCAATCAAGATTTAGTATTAGTGATTATCAATTTCATTGAGAAGATAATTATTAAAAGTTCTTTGAAGTATTATAAGATTTCAACGTTGTTGCTCATAAATGAATGTTAGACCTGTGTTATCTTGAATTTCTTCTTTTAGTACTCGTCGATAACAAAATTTAATATTAAGATCACATGCACTTGACAAGACCATTCGAATTTCATCATAACGTCGTTCTGTTATAGAATAACATTCAATAAATAGCTGAGGAAAATGCTGTCGTAGTTCGGCTTCATGCTGGTCTCCATTAATAAAAAACAAATAAAATGAATGTATTGTTTGTTGTTGAAATTCTTCATTAGTTAGAAATTCTATTACATCACTTCGAGTTCCATTCAGAAGGATTAATATGAAAATGATCGCTTTTTCACATTTATTTTTCAATAATGTTTTCAGCATTTTCAAACTTTGAATTATTTTTACGATTGAACCGAACGGTTTTAGTTGTGGCTCAGCATTTGATATCTCGTCATCTTGATCCAAAATAATAGTCTCTATTTGATCATTGAATAAATCAAGTGGAACAGTCTCTCCTAACTGAGTATCTGACATTTCTAAATAACTTTTAGTATCAACTGATACGACAGAAGTTGAGAAATAAAACTCTTATGAAAATATTTTAACTTAACTTACCCAGGCAAAAAAAGGGAAGATGTTTCAAACGAAATTGTACGAGTTGAATTTTCATGCGAGAATAAAATTTTTAATCTATCAACGAATGCTTGATGTTCGATGTGATTATTAAATTTTATACCTTCGACGGTATCTAAAGTAGATAACTTAAATATTCATTAGTCATTAAGTAAAACTTCAACGATGAAAATTTTTAAAAATGCACCTTCATTTTACATATCCGAAATTATTTATTTATGAGATAAACAGAAAATATTTGGCAAACCTGACGAAAAATAAGTTAGCTTTTCGGTACTTCAGACGAAAATATTGTAGAGAAATGTTTAATTCTTTCATCAACATTTTTTTCTAAAAGCTCATATAGTCGAGTCGATTTGACCAGAAAATACTTTGTTTTTCCACGATCATTTTGCTCTTGTAGAACTTGCTTAGCAATTTCACGACAGTATTGTGCCAAATCATGAATAAATTGACAATAAAATTGATCAGATTTAACTTCATCATCATTATAATAAATATGTAACCATTTAGAACCCAATATCAGCAAATAAGATGGCAACTGAACATTAGAAATAACAAAATACGTACGGGGATATTCTTGAAAATCGGAAGAAGCCAAAATACGAATAAGCTTACCACTACTTATCCAATTTTTATCGTCATCAACATCAGTTCGAAGTTGTGTATGTAATGTTGAAGTACCCGAATAGAAGCAAAAGTTGGGTTCCATGTTATTTAATCCTATGCAATCAATCTATACATATTTAAAATATTTAACATCCTTTTGACCTGTAATTTCTAAAGCTATTGTTGTATTTGATTGTAAATAGTTTGTTCGAGTAAATCTATAAGCTCCGGAAATTAAAGCTTTAACAGATCTATGAGAAGTAGGATACATTCCATTTTTGATATCACTCCATGTCCATGATCAATCAAAACAAAATATTTTTTTAAATAAATTAACTTGTTATAAATTCATCAAGAGGTGACTGAAATCTTATTCGACAATTTGTATTATTGTCTAATAGACAAAGAATTTTTTTTCTCGTAATTTATTAATTTTATCCTTAAAATTTCTCTGATAAATGCCTCGTAAATCAATTGTTAATAGATCACTTATGATTTGATCTGTTCATTAAACAAGATTACTAAACGTAGGATATCTTATGTCAGGATTCGAGTATATCCTGAAAATATTCGCCATAAGGCTGGCTCCAAAAGACATCGCATTGGCTCCAAGTAGACCTTGACGAGCTCTATCGACTCCATTAATTACTTTCTCCAAAGCCCTCACTCAAACCGGAGAAAAGTCCAAAATACCGCAAACAAATGGTAAAAAAACCCATACAGTTTAGAAAGATCCGTCGCGATTCGCTCCTGAGTGGCTCCAACAAAAACAAAACATACCACTCCATCGATCTCGACGAGCTCTATCAACTCCATACCCTATTCTTTCAATTAGACTCAACCATTAATTAGGAAGCCGCCACTAAGTTCTTTGAACTTCACCACTGTGGCCATTCGTCCATCAATTAGCTCCACCAAAACTAACGATACCATTCAATAGATCTTGACGAGCTCTATCCAATACACACCTCACTCGTCAAATTCGAGTAAGCCATTCTTGAGAAAATCGCTAATTACTTCTATAGCTGCTAGATTCATATATACACATAAAACAATTTCAGGAAAACTTTTTCTCACTCCTTCATGAGTCGGCTCCAATAAATCTAAGGATGGCACCAAATAGATCTCGATGAGCTCTATCGATTCTACATATCATTTTTCGAATTTGAGCAAATCATCACCGAGAAAATTCCTAATTAGTCCTTTGTTCATACATATGATGGTTAGGACCTGGGAATACCGCTCGAAAATCCTTCCGGAGTCGGCTCCAATAAAACTAACGATGGCTCCAAATAGATCTCGACGAGCTCTATCGATTCTATGCCACACTTGTCAAATTCGACCCAATTATCACTGAGAAAATTCTTAATTAATCCCTTGTTCGTTCACATGGTAGTTGCGACTCGGGAATACCGATCCAAAACCCTTGATGAGTCGGCTTCAACAAAACTAAGGGCGACTCCAGATAGATCTCGATGAGCTCTATGGATTCCACACCTCACCCATCAGAACCAAGTAAATCGTTAATTCGAAAATTCTTAATTATTCCTTTGTTCATATGTTTGGTGTATAGAATTTGTGAAAATCCATCTAGATTCGTTCATGAGTCGACTCTAAGAAAAGTGAAGGTGACTCAAAATGAATTTTGCATAGTTGTGTCGATCTTACGTTAGATTTTTTTGTTCTAGAATATTCGTTATGTGTCACTAATGACTCTGACTGTTCCTTTTGATCATCTGATTATTATTATAGGTGTGATATGTTTCAATGTATAAGGAAGTTATACGGCGTTGTTTATCAAAAGTGCTGTTGTGTATGTATCTTGATCAAGCTATAAAATTGGCTATGAGTTTTTAGTGTCTTTATTAGCCATATAGACAGGGAGCTGACGCTATTTATCTTTGTCAATAGATTACTGGCGACTATGTGCTTGTTGTTTATAGATATTGCGTCTTTTATTTTAAACTTTACCCACTATAGATGATATATTAGAAATTGTGAAATTTATTATATTGTTATTTGATTATTTTGAATAGATAACATTACAAAGAAAAGAATTTAATACAGAAAATGTGTTACACATACAAGATGTCCTCTGCAGCAGATTCGAGACGGTTAATTTTTTTTGTTGGAGTCAACTCAGGAAGGATTTTCGAGCGGTATTCCCAAGTCCTAACCATCATATGTATGAACAAAGGACTAATTAGGAATTTTCTCGGTGATGATTTGCTCAAATTCGAAAAATGATATGTAGAATCGATAGAGCTCATCGAGATCTATGGAGTGGTATGTTTTATTTTTGTTGGAGCCACTCAGGAGCGAATCGCGACGGATCTTTCTAAACTGTATGGGTTTTTTTAGCATTTTTTTGCCGTATTTTGGACTTTTCTCCGGTTTGAGGAGGCTTTGGAGAAAGTAATTAATGGAGTCGATAGAGCTCGTCGAGGTCTACTTGGAGCCAATGCGATGTCTTTTGGAGCCAGCCTCATGACGAATATTTTCAGAATATACTCGAATCCTGACATAAGATATCCTACGTCTGGATCAGCATGTGTCATTATTTAAACTAGTAATTTGAGCTTTCACTATTACATTGTTGATAAGCTCCTTGATGAAGTCCGAAAAAAAAGTTATTTTTGTTTACTAAAGCTGTGTTTTCAATTCACATCACATGATTATATCAACTTATTAAGATAAATTTTGGCTAACTTTGATCACTAAAGAAAAGTAGTATTATTAAAAGACATGAACATCTGCAAGACTTTTACACAAGAGACGTACGAAAATAATTTTGAATATCGTAATGATAAGAAATCTTTTTTGTTTTTTTTTGTAATGACATAAAACAACATGACAAACATATTGCGAGTTCAAGGTCATCAGCAACTCTCATCTGAAAAAAATAAAAAATAGTTAAAATGAATCATTTTTATCCAAGGTCAAATTTTATTTATAATGCAAAAGTATATACAAGAAAGATACTTTTATTATCTCTTTTCATTTTGACATCTAACCTAATCTATTAGGATATTCTTGCTTAATTGATGACATTTTATTTTTACAATTTTATTCAATCATACAATAGATTCTTGTAGACTTCAATAAAAATACAGATAACAATTTATTGTTTATGGTGAAAACAGTTTAAACAGTATTAAGTGTCACCACATAGTTAATGGTTGTCCAAATATGTATATTATATTATTCTCGTCGCCATCAGTTCCACGGATATCAGCTATTTTGGTGAAATATTGTCATAAACAAAAAGTCTACAGTTTTAAAGGCTAACATTTTATAAACTTGATGTTGAATCATGATTATATATAACTAGAAATGATTACTATTCAGAAAAATAACACCATCAATAACATTTGAATTAAAGCAGAAGATCATTGTTCAATCTTTTTTGAACTCATATACAGTTACTATCAAAATCATCCAAGCAAGTGTAAATTCAATTTTTCATTCTTGTAGTAGGTGCTATCAATCGTATAAATAGTAATCTGCATAGAGAAAATTAAATTCCTTGGTATATTGCCAGAAGTTACAGTTTCTACAAAAAAAAAATAGAATTATAAGTTTTTCACTTTCAAAGTTCCATGACAAAAATTTGCCTTAGATAATGGAGGATGATCAAGCAGAACATCTCAATAAAATGAAACGTCTTCGAGCTCTCCACGACTTTTTTGTGTGTTGCTGATTAAAGATAGTAGAAAGTGTCTTTTGTGCCTGCTGTAAATTCGGTGTAGCTCAACAAAAAAAATGTCATGGAGAGCTTGAAGACATCTAATTTTGCTCAGAATGTTTTGTTCTATCGTTCTTCATTTTCTAAACAAAACTTTGTTATCGGATTTGGGATGCTGAAAATCTTGATTTTAGAAATATACTGACATGACTTTGTTGGAAACAGTTTTCTTTATCCAAATTACTATTTAAATTCTTGATAGTATCTACTGCAAGAACGAAAAATCGAATTTATACCTAGTTGAATAATTTTGATGGTGACTGTAGCTTTTATGTAATCTAACAGTATCATTTGTTGACAAACCATCTTTCATGTATGAATTCCATATCATCATAAGAAATGTAACAAATTGAACACAAATCAATTATATAAATATTAAAGATAAATAAATACATTACAGATTCAATATATACTATTAAAGAATAAAAAAAATGAATAAAAATTGATATTGGCATAAAAATAACCTGTGAATGTACAATGCCTATAGATGATCTTTGACCTTGATAAAGTGGTAAGTCGAAAATTCTTGTTCCAAAACATAACAGAAAAAGATTTAAACTAGGAGCAGCTCGAAGATATCAGAGTAAGAAGGATTGTTACAGAACATGAAGGAATCGTCAAAAATTTTTCATCATCGAAGGTAGCGAAAATACATGCATGATGTTGTTGATTCTAGAAATGAAATATTATTCATTCAATATTGTAGAAGAGCTATATTACCCGAATTTAATGGCTGTGCATATTGATCATTGATGTTTTTAAAATTTCAAGAATAACGTTTCATATTATGCTATTAATATTCACGACATTGTAAATACTGTTACAGTTATGTTTGAAATGTTTACCAGCAAAGTTTTGAAATGTAGCAGATATTTTTTGTAAATCATTGTTAGACATTATTTTCAGATCTAGAAAATAATATTTCTAAGCTTCATGTAAAAGATCTCACAAATTAAAAAACTCTTTCTCTTGTGTTCGAACACGGCAAATTTTCAATGGAATCTTCTACTGTGTCTCATTTTTTTGTCGTAGATTTTCTTTCAAATAGTTTACAGAAAATGACATAGATCTTAAGGGTTGTAGTAGAAATTCTTAGAGCTTTAAAAGAATAGAAATCATTTTCAGCTCAAAAACCTAAGATTCAAATATATTCTAGTAAAAACATACTAAGTTTCCATAATTTTGAAAGTTTGATTAGTTAATGGGTCATCATGGTGTTATGAGGACCGTTTGATGCGGACAAAGAAGCTTTTCGTATTAGAACGGAGGAGAAAAGAGTTAGAACAGAGCAAAGCTTTTCTACAGATCAAGAAAAGGATCTTCGTAAAGAAAATAATAGAATTTCTCGAAAGCAATAA